AAGGTTGGAGAACCATTTACAATTCAAATGGTCCTCAAAAGAAAGCAGGGGTAGCCCTCCTTATATCAGATAAACTAAAATTTACCCTGAAGACTGTAGTGAGAGACGAAGAGGGACACTATATCATACTTAAAGGATCTATCCAACAAGAGGACTTAACAATCCTCAATATATATGCCCCGAATGTGGGAGCTGCCAAATACTTAAACGAATTATTAACCAAAGTGAAGAAATACTTAGATAATAATACACTTATACTTGGTGACTTCAATCTAGCTCTCTCTACCCTCGATAGGTCTTCTAAGCACAACATCTCCAAAGAAACGAGAGCTTTAAATGATACACTGGACCAGATAGATTTCACAGATATCTACAGAACTTTACATCCAAACTCAACTGAATACACATTCTTCTCAAGTGCACATGGAACTTTCTCCAGAATAGACCACATACTGGGTCACAAATCGGGTCTGAACCGATACCAAAAGATTGGGATCGTCCCCTGCATATTCTCAGACCATAACGCCTTGAAATTAGAACTCAATCACAAGAAGAAGTTTGGAAGGACCTCAAACACGTGGAGGTTAAGGACCATCCTGCTAAAAGTAAAAGGGTCAACCAGGAAATTAAGGAAGAATTAAAAAGATTCATGGAAACTAATGAGAATGAAGATACAACTGTTCAAAATCTTTGGGATGCAGCAAAAGCAGTCCTGAGGGGGAAATACATCGCAATACAAGCATCCATTCAAAAACTGGAAAGAACTCAAATACAAAAGCTAACCTTACACATAAAGGAGCTAGAGAAGAAGCAGCAAATCGACCCGACGCCCAGCAGAAGAAGAGAGTTAATTAAAATTCGAGCAGAACTCAACGAAATTGAGACCAGAAGAACTGTGGAACAGATCAATAGAACCAGGAGTTGGTTCTTTGAAAGAATTAATAAGATAGATAAACCATTAGCCAACCTTATTGAAAAGAAGAGAGAGAAGACTCAAATTAATAAAATCATGAATGAGAAAGGAGAGATCACTACCAACACCAAGGAAATACAAACGATTTTAAAAACATATTATGAACAGCTCTACGCCAATAAATTAGGCAATCTAGAAGAAATGGACGCATTCCTGGAAAGCCACAAACTACCAAAACTGGAGCAGGAAGAAATAGAAAACCTGAACAGGCCAATAACCACGGAGGAAATTGAAGCAGTCATCAAAAACCTCCCAAGACACAAAAGTCCAGGGCCAGATGGCTTCCCAGGGGAATTCTATCAAACGTTTAAAGAAGAAATCATACCTATTCTACTAAAGCTGTTTGGAAAGATAGAAAGAGATGGAGTACTTCCAAATTCATTCTATGAGGCCAGCATCACCTTAATTCCAAAACCAGACAAAGACCCCACCAAAAAGGAGAATTACAGACCAATATCCCTGATGAACATGGATGCAAAAATTCTCAACAAGATTCTATCCAATAGGGGATCCCTGGGTGGCGCAGCGGTTTGGCGCCTGCCTTTGGCCCAGGGCGCGATCCTGGAGACCCAGGATCGAATCCCACATCGGGTTCCCGGTGCACGGAGCCTGCTTCTCCCTCTGCCTATGTCTCTGCGCCTCTCTCTCTCTCTGTGTGTGTGACTATCATAAATAAATTAAAAAAATTTAAAAAAAAGATTCTAGCCAATAGGATCCAACAACACATTAAGAAAATTATTCACCATGACCAAGTAGGATTTATCCCCGGGACACAAGGCTGGTTCAACACTCGTAAAACAATCAATGTGATTCATCATATCAGCAAGAGAAAAACCAAGAACCATATGATCCTCTCATTAGATGCAGAGAAAGCATTTGACAAAATACAGCATCCATTCCTGATTAAAACTCTTCAGAGTGTAGGGATAGAGGGAACTTTCCTCGATATCTTAAAAGCCATCTACGAAAAGCCCACAGCAAATATCATTCTCAATGGGGAAGCACTGGGAGCCTTTCCCCTAAGATCAGGAACCAGACAGGGATGTCCACTCTCACCACTGCTATTCAACATAGTATTGGAAGTCCTAGCCTCAGCAATCAGACAACAAAAAGACATTAAAGGCATTCAAATTGGCAAAGAAGAAGTCAAACTCTCCCTCTTCGCCGATGACATGATACTCTACATAGAAAACCCAAAAGCCTCCACCCCAAGATTGCTAGAACTCATACAGCAATTTGGTAGCGTGGCAGGATACAAAATCAATGCCCAGAAATCAATGGCATTCCTATACACTAACAATGAGACTGAAGAAAGAGAAATTAAGGAGTCAATCCCATTTACAATTGCACCCAAAAGCATAAGATACCTAGGAATAAACCTAACCAAAGAGGTAAAGGATCTATACCCTAAAAACTATAGAACACTTCTGAAAGAAATTGAGGAAGACACAAAGAGATGGAAAAATATTCCATGCTCATGGATTGGCAGAATTAATATTGTGAAAATGTCAATGTTACCCAGGGCAATTTACACGTTCAATGCAATCCCTATCAAAATACCATGGACTTTCTTCAGAGACTTAGAACAAATTATTTTAAGATTTGTGTGGAATCAGAAAAGACCCCGAATAGCCAGGGGAATTGTAAAAAAGAAAACCATACCTGGGGGCATCACAATGCCAGATTTCAGGGTGTACTACAAAGCTGTGGTCATCAAGACAGTGTGGTACTGGCACAAAAACAGACACATAGATCAATGGAACAGAATAGAGAACCCAGAAGTGGACCCTGAACTTTATGGTCAACTAATATTCGATAAAGGAGGAAAGACTATCCACTGGAAGAAAGACAGTCTCTTCAATAAATGGTGCTGGGAAAATTGGACATCCACATGCAGAAGAATGAAACTAGACCACTCTCTTGCACCATACACAAAGATAAACTCAAAATGGATGAAAGATCTAAATGTGAGACAAGATTCCATCAAAATCCTAGAGGAGAACACAGGCAACACCCTTTTTGAACTTGGCCACAGTAACTTCTTGCAAGATACATCCACGAAAGCAAAAGAAACAAAAGCAAAAATGAACTATTGGGACTTCATCAAGATAAGAAGCTTTTGCACAGCAAAGGATACAGTCAACAAAACTCAAAGACAACCTACAGAATGGGAGAAGATATCTGCAAATAACATATCAGATAAAGGGCTAGTTTCCAAAATCTATAAAGAACTTATTAAACTCAACACCAAAGAAACAACAATCCAATCATGAAATGGGCAAAAGACATGAACAGAAATCTCACAGAGGAAGACACAGACATGGCCAACATGCACATGAGAAAATGCTCTGCATCACTTGCCATCAGGGAAATACAAATCAAAACCACAATGAGATACCACCTCACACCAGTGAGAATGGGGAAAATTAACAAGGCAGGAAACAACAAATGTTGGAGAGGATGCGGAGAAAGGGAACCCTCTTACACTGTTGGTGGGAATGTGAACTGGTGCAGCCACTCTGGAAAACTGTGTGGAGGTTCCTCAAAGAATTAAAAATAGACCTGCCCTACGACCCAGCAATTGCACTGTTAGGGATTTACCCCAAAGATTCAGATGCAATGAAACGCCGGGACACCTGCATCCCGATGTTTCTAGCAGCCATGTCCACAATAGCCAAACTGTGGAAGGAGCCTTGGTGCCCATCGAAAGATGAATGGATAATGAAGATGTGGTTTATGTATACAATGGAATATTACTCAGCCATTAGAAACGACAAATACCCACCATTTGCTTCAACGTGGATGGAACTGGAGGGTATTATGCTGAGTGAAGTAAGTCAGTCGGAGAAGGACAAACAGTGTATGTTCTCATTCATTTGGGGAATATGTATAATAGTGAAAGGGAATATAAGGGAAGGGAGAAGAAATGTGTGGGAAATATCAGAAAGGGAGACAGAACATAAAGACTTCTAACTCTGGGAAATGAACTAGGGGTGGTGGAGGGGGAGGAGGGTGGGGGGTGGGGGTGAATGGGTGACGGGCACTGAGGGGGGCACTTGACGGGATGAGCACTGGGTTTATTCTGTATGTTGGTAAATTGAACACCAATAAAAATTTATTAAAAAAAACCAAAGTATTAATAGTGGTGAATTTACCTAATACCTCCCACTTTCTTTTGACTTTCCTCTACTGATGTACTTCTTTTTAACGTCCAGATATTATTCTCATTAGTAAAAGAATATGAAAGTATAAACAATCCTTTCAAGAATTAAATATTTGTATTAAGACATGGCAAATGTAACAAAATATCAATCTCCAGATGAGTTAAGGCAGAGGTTCTGAGACTGCTAACTTTACAATCAGTCATAGTGTTGTCAAATAAAAAGGAAATATTGTGGTACTAGACTCAGATCTTCAAATGGATATCCCATCAATTTAGTTAGATGTTAATAACTTGGGAAGCCTCTTTTGAAACAAAGAAAAGATGACCTGGAACAATTTCTATCAAATGTAGGTAAGTTCAAAGCTAAGATAGGGAAATCCCTAGGGACCACATAAAACAAGTGAATTCCATGGTCACAAGAGGGAACTGAAACTGAATGGCCTCACTAAAGATCTGGAACTAGATACTATCTAAGAATTTACTACTGAGTGTGGTTGGGATTTTAGGCCTCATGCACTTTGAGACATGAACATGAACACAGGCCAGCCAGTCTCAGGTGTTGTTGCTACCTGTAACCACTTTAAGAGAACCCCAGCTATGCAGGTTAGGTGTAAGCCCTACTTGTGGTCTTTTCAGTTTTAGAAGTTAAGTACTTTTGGCTTAATCTGACGAGATTTATTACAAATAATTAGCTTGGTAATGAGTTATTCCAGTATTTGGTGACAGTTTAAATGCCACCAAATACTCCTTGCCAGAGAATATTACTAGGAGTATCCAATTCTATATTATGTATGGATATACACAGAACACACACATATACACAGAGATTTATGAATTTTATTATACTAGGAAGGCTATGGTCTGATTTCACAAAGCCTGTATTATGTTCTCCTGATATTACATGTCCCTGACATTACTTAAACAGCCCCATGAAACTATGGGAACATATGAAATTTAAACAAACCCTTATCGGTGAACACTCATCATTTCCATTTTAGAAATTGTAACTTTATTGATGCATATTCATCTTTTCATTGTTTGAACTTCATTATCATATATTCCTAGTGTTTTTTTCCAGGTCAGAGTTACACATTTCACATTGGTATATACTGCTTTTCAAAAGATGTATATTATCATCAGGAAGAAAAACATATAACTGCCATTTCTGCAGTAGTATTTAATATATTTGATGAAACCACCAAATCCCAGATTTTTCTATTTATTTCATGGGGATGAGGGAAGAATATGGGAAGCTGTCCTTCAAATTTGGCATAGCTTCTACCAGAGAAGTTTGATTTTTTAAAAATGCTACAAATTAGAAACAATCATATCAAAGATTACATGGTAATGCAGAAATTTAAAAATCAATGATGAACTCAAAACTAAGAAAATTTTTATCATTTTTATCATCATAAATCTCTTTTAATGTTACTTTGAACCCTTGCCTTAACATTGAGAAAATTCAAGTAAGCTGTGTGCAGTAGCCAGTTATTGCAAAATTAAAATTGTTTCAGTCTGCCATGTGAGAAAAATCACAAAATAGAATTGAGTTTCTACTATATAAACCAATGGAACATGAAATCAAGATCCCAAAAATAACCCAAACTCAGATCGATGGCTGAGGGTATGCCAGGAGCCAACTGCAATAAGATACTACCAAAATAATGCTGTGGAATGCAGTGATATATATTTCTGCATTTCAACTGTTTCTCTGAATTTTTTTCTAGTTTCCTTTTCCAGATACAATTTTTAAATATCATACATTTTCTTTTTGATTCATTTAAAATATTTTATCACTACTTTCCACCATCTTAAGAACTATGTATATTGGTGTAGACGTCCTTGGGCTGATTTTTGGAGTGCTCTTGTGCCTTCTGGATCGGTTTCCTTCTCCCACAAAAAAGGTAGTTTTCAGCTATTATTTCTTTAAATAATTTTTTTTTTTGGCCCCTTTTCTCTCTTCTGGGATCTCTTTAATGCAAATGTTATTATGCTTGATGGAGTCAGAGTTCCCTATCTTCAACTTACATAAGTTTCCCCTCTTGGGCAGCCCGGGTGGCTCAGCGCTTTAGTGCCACCTTCAGCCCAGGGCCTGATCCTGGAGACCTAGGATCGAGTCCCACGTCAGGCTCCCTGCATGGAATCTGCTTCTCCCTTTGCCTGTGTCTCTGCCTCTCTCTCTCTCTCTCTCATGAATAAATAAATAAAAATCTTTAAAAATAAAAATTCACCTCTCATTTGCTCAGCTAATTACTTTCTATTATTGTCTTCCAGGTCATAATACATTCCTCTGTGTCATCTAGCCTGTTTATTCCATCAATGTATTTATTTTAGTTTTAAAAAGATTTTATTTATTCATGACAGTGAGAGAGAGAGAGAGACAGAAAGACAAAGAGAGAGAAGGGCAGAGACACAGGCAGAGGGAGAAGCAGGCTCTGTGCAGGGAGCCTGACGTGGGACTTGATCCTGGGACTCCTTGGTCACTTCCTGGGCCGAAGGCAGGCGCTAAAACGCTGAGCCACCCAGGAATCCCCTCCATCAATGTATTTTTAATTTATTGTGTTCTTCATCTCTGATTGGTTCTTCATAACCTCAGTGGTAAGGGTCTCACCGAGGTCCTTCACTCTTCTCAAGTCCAGGGAGTATCTTTATGATCATTAAATTCTCTATCTGGTATATTACTTACATCTGTTTTTGCTTAGGTCTCTTGCTGTGGTTTGGTCCTGTTCTTTCATTTGGGAGATATGTCCCTCTCCTCATTTTCTCTATTTATTATTAAAGTCAGCTAGGTCTCTTCCTTTTGAAGGTAACAGCCTTATGAAGGGGTCCTGTAGTGCCCTGCAGCGCGTTATCGCCTGTGCTCTGGGACCTGTCGTTTCAGTGTCTCCTATGTGTGTTGCCTGTGCCTGCTGTTGTGTCCCTGCCTTTTTCCTCCGGTCTAGTCATCTGGAGAGGCTCTCTTTGCTTGTTGTGGACAGGGTTTGGTCCTCAGCTGGGTAGATCACAGCCTAATATATGCTGGTCTGCTTGTGTAATGAGACCTGCTGTCACTGCCACGTCTGGAAATGATCTCTCATAAAACATGCAGGTCAGGAGATGAGGTGTTGGTGGGATTTTATCTGGTCTCCTGGGGAAAGGGGCTCACAGTGCCAGCACTGAAGCAAGAGTGACTGGGAAAGTGATCCACTGGATTAGACGGGTAGGGCTTGGTGTAAGCAAGTTAGGTAAGGTGTGTTGGTGCCGCACTGGTTCCAGCAAGTGGCCATGTTTATGCTGGGGGGCCGGGGAGAGAAATGGTGCCTACTACTCCTTTGTTCCTGGAGGGGTGTTCTCATAATCCCTGCCTCTCCAGGCCATGCTCGGAGATGAGTAAATCACTCTCCCTCTCATCTGCCCCTAGCACTTTTCAAACTGCTGATTCCTGGCTCTATTTCCACTGGTTGGTTATCGTGCTCTCCCAGAGCCCAGCCCACAGAAACTGAAAATCCAGTTAAGTCCCACTGGTTTTAAGAATTCTTGGAATTTGGCCCATCACTTTCAAAGCCAGATGTCATGGGGATTTGTCTTCCCTGTGTGGGCTCCCCAGTGTGATAGTCTGGTTTTTGCCTTCTCTGCACCACTGGCTTTGTCCCCACCACTGACTGCCAGTCTGTTTTACTCTCAAACTGCATCTTTGCCTTTCCTACCTCTTTTAATATTGCCTCATCTCTACCTTTAGTTGATGAGTTTATGTCTTCAGGTCGGTTTCTGGGTTACTTATGCTGATAGAAGTGTTGTCTAGTGGTATCCATAAGAGGGGGCAAGCTTAGGGTCCTCCTACTCTGCCATCTTCCCTAATTCTCTCTCTTCCCTTTGATTCATTTTATAAACAAATACTAAGTGCATATACTGAGTGTTACTCAATGTTGATTATATAGATACAGCAGCAAACTCCTTGCCCTTATGGAGTTTATATTCCAAGGGACATCAATTTTAATATCCACCATTAGAGTTTGATAAGTGCCTAAAGAGATTCTTATTTCAACAGCTTATTTCTTGAGTGATAACTGTAACTGTAAAGGTTCTAACTAAAGCCCTTATTGCACCACTTGTGTGATCCTGGGATCACTGGGATGTGTTTAGCTATGGCTGATAGATTCACTTTACCAATACAAAGTTTTTTCTCCTATGAGACTGGATGAAATTTATCACCAATATGGGTTCTGTGATGAATTTTAACATATGAACTTGAACTGAACTGCTTACCACATATCTTACACTTATAAGGTTTCTCTCCTGTGTGAACTCTCTGATGAGATTTTAGATGTCCAGACTGACTAAAGACCTTACTGCATACATTACATTTGTATGGTTTCTCTCCAGTGTGGACTCTCTGATGAACCTTAAGATTTGAGGTCCTAGTGAAGTGCTTACCACATGCCCTACATGTATATGGGTTCTCTCCCATATGAACACTCTGGTGCACATCAAGATCCAAGCTTGTCTTGTAGCCCTTACCACACTCCTCACATTTGTATGGTTTTTCTTTGGTGTGGACTTTCTGATGAGCTTGCAGGCATGATTTCTGACCAAATCCTTTCCCACACTCTTCACATTTGAATGGTTTTTCTCCACTGTGGACTCGCTGATGTGTCAAAAGAGGTGAGATCCATCGGAAGCTCTTCCCACATTCCTTACAATTATAGGGTTTCTCCTCTGTGTGGAACCTCCGATGGTAATAAAGATGTGTCCTAGAAAAGAAGCTCTTTCCACATTCTTCACATTTGTGTGGTTTCTGTCCCATGTGGACTTTCTTATGGATACGAAGACGTGAACGCCAAGTATAGGACTTCCCACACTCCTCACATTTGTATGGTTTTTCTCCTGTGTGGACCACACAATGACTATTAAGTGCTGACCTACGACGAAAGCTCTTACCACAGATATCACACTTAAATGGCTTTTCCCCGGTGTGGACTCTCTGATGGTCCTGAAGATGGCAAGCATTAATGAAGGCCTTCCCACATCCCTTACACTTATAAAGTTTCTCTCCCGAGTGTAACCTGCAATGATTACTAAGTTCTGATCTACGGCTGAAGCCTTTCCCACATTCTTCACATTTGAATGCCTTCCCTATAGTGTGGACTTTCTGATGAGTTTGCAGATGTGAGTTCTGACTGAATTCTTTACCACACTCATCACACCTATACCGTTTCTCTCCCAGGTGAACTCTCTGATGAATACGAAGTGCTGAACTATAAAAGAAGCATTTCCCACACTCACGACATGTATGAGACTTTTTTCCAGAGTTTAACTGCTGAAGATCACAGTTGGAAGTATCACTGAAGAATTCTTTACACCCATTTCCCTGGTAAGTTTTCTGGCCTGTGCGGATTATAGACAGTTCTGCTCCCACCTGGCTGGGTAAATCACGTTGTTTGTACAATTGAGAACTCTTTATCATGGAGTTTTGACATCGGGTTAAGTCATTTGCAATGTGTTGCCAGATTTGCCAGCAAGGAAGTTCTTCATGTGGTTCTGCTTTAGGACTAGTCTCCATTTCATGTTGGACTTTGTCTCCTAAAATGACAGAATGCAGTGATGTGGAGAAATGAAGGCTTTGTTCAATGTCTTCAAGATTTAACAGTTAGGGAAGAGCATGGGACTTTAATGAATCAAGGGAATATTCCCTACATCTTTCTAGTGTTTATCATGGTCTCTAGTTTAAATGTCTACATAAACCAAGAGGTAGTCTAGTAGGCCCCTATTCACTAAGCACTAATGAAACAAATTTAGAATCCCACTAGTCTCATATGTGACATACAAGTTAGAAGTCAAAGACTGAATACCAAAATGATGATACATGTTAATTTTGCTGTTTCTACTGAATTTCAAAAATCAGTGCAAACTCTTAAAAAAAAAAAAAAAAAAAAAAAAAGCTCTACATCCAACATGGAGCCAACACCCAGCTTAAACTCACAACCCTGAGATCAAGACCTGAGCTGAGATTGAATTGGACACAACTGACTGAGCCATACAGATGCTCCCAGTAAACTCTTAAACAATAAATTATGCAGCGAATAAATTATATACACAATGACAGCCTTTGTCCTCAACATCTGAGAGACAGTTCTAAGCCCTTGCAATGTCAAGCCTGAAAGGAGTGCTATAACATCTTGGGTCACATTAGAAAGTTTAATAATATGATTTAGGGATGATATGACCATACCAGAAAGACCAAGAATTATTTGGGGTGATGCTTTCAATCACCTCCTGGTGTGGACCAAGCATGACCACATGAACCCATTCAGTCTACACTGGTCATATGACAGAGCTCCAATAATTACTCTGGACACCAGATCAGGTGAGTTTCCCTAATTGGCAATATCCTGTGTATAACTACACCTTCATTTTGGGAAAGTAACACAATAACATATCTCTGACTCCATGGAGAGAAGACAATGGAAACTCTGCATCTGGTACTTCCCTAAACTCCCTCTCTTGTGCTTTTTCTCTTGCTTGATTGTAAGGTGTATCCTTCCCTGTAACAAACACTAACTCTGAGTATAACCGCATTCAGTGAATGTGGTCCCTTTTAGAAAATGATTCAATCTGAAGGCAATTTTGGGAATCTCCCAAACCTATAGTTGAAGTCAAGTGCAGGAGGTCTGTGTAAACTGTCCTTCTAAACTTTGTAGTTGCTTACACTCTTTGCAATCTTTCTGTCAAACAGCCAGAACTGACTATAGCTACATATTTTAAGTATTCCTGCATTCTACACAATGTGTGTAGTTCCTCTTATTTAACTGTGTTCATACACATGGTAACTTAAGATATCTAAAATTAAAAAGGGAAAGGAAACTGAAGTTTTGCTGTCAAATCAGAAGTCTGTATCTTACAGGAATATCCACAAGGGTAGTATTACTGATAAAAGAACCAAAGGTGGCAAACCACTAGGGGTGAAAAGACTACATGAAGGTTTATGCATTTGGTTTCTTCTGAGGCTTCTGGACTGTCTAATTCAAAACAAAGTATGGAAAATCTTTGGATGTAAATAAATTGGGTTATCACATCAGTTTTTCCAGTTGAAAACTGCAGCCGTTTAGTCATCTGTAAAATAAACTTTAAACCATGCAATAAGTATTTAGGAAAAAGGGACAGAAACTATCTGAACATCATTATTCAGGAATGGGGTGATTGCATGAATTGTCTTATAAAGTCATTCGTATAAATCTGTGTACACATAAAATGTTTCTTTTGAAAAAAAAATTTTTGGATATACTGAAAGATGCATTTCCTAGTGGGGCTTGTGTTCTAAAAAGTTTGAACTTAGTTCAGGAACTCAGCAAGTCTCTCATTCAAAAAATGGTTCATATGGAAAAGTAAGTCCTAAGTATAAAAACTTTGAAAAATATCCATAGGTGAGTGTGCACCTCTTGGTTATATTTAATAAATTGTCCCTTTAAAATAGTTTTCTTTGGATGAAGGAGAAAAAAAAAGTCTGAGGATGTGACAATTTTGAGTGGGCCATTTCCTGATACTTTCCAGGTTATAATAATGTTCATAATGTTCATCAATTGAAAATGAAACAATAGATTTCCTAATAAATATATGGAAATCATGTGAAATCATTATTCTTTAAAGCTTATTTAATGGCTACATTTGTAAAAAATAAAGGTGCAGAAATATATACCATATTTTTGAACAAAAATGATCAGGAATAGACAATATTCAGCTGTGTGAGTGGTATTATTTTCATCATATCCACTTCTGGTACATGAAGGGGAAGCCTGGCTATAATGATGTGGACAAAGGCTTTGTAAGAAGCAAATGAGCTAGAGGAGGGCAAATTGTGGAAAGGATAAACAACTTTCAAGCTGATTGCTATTGAAGGTTCCCCCCCCCATTTGTGGGGGATCTGTTCAGGAACAGACATCAGAATCCTCATTTTAAAGATTTTTTGGGGCACCTGGCTAGCTTAGTCAGTAAAATATGTGACTATTGATCTTGGGATTGTAAGTTTGCGCCCCACGTTAGGAGTAGAGATTATATAAAAAAACTAAACCTTTGGGGTGCCTGGGTGGCTCAGCTGGTTAAGTGTCTAACTCTATTTCAGCTCAGGTCATGATTGTAGGGTGGTGAGATCAAGCCCCATGTCAGACTCCACACTGGTCATGGAGCCTACTTAGGATTCTATCTCTCCTTCCCCTGCTACCCCTCCCCCCACTCACACTCTAAATAAATAAATATATAAATAAATAACCTTTAAAAAAAAAGTATTTTTTGAGGAAGAGAGGAAGATGGCAATGGAGTAAGAGGATACTAGGCTGCCCCTACCCCACAAATACAACTAGGTAATTACAAAATCATCCTCAATACCCCAGAATCAACCCAAAGACTGGCAGAACAAACTCTACGACTAAAAGTAAAGAGGCTACATCAAAGAAGTTAGGAAGCATGGAAACATGGTTTGGGAAAGAAACAGATTGTGGCTGCTGTGGAGAAGAGGGAGCCATGGTTATGAAGAAGGGAGTGACACAGACTAGCACACAGGAGAGTGCACAGGGAAAATATATTCGCATAGCAAAAGGCAAGAGAGGCCAAATTTTATGAGTTCTTGCAGACAGCAGTGTTTGAAGCCTTGAGTTTTAAAGGTCAGCAGGTTTGTCCTGGGGACAGTCTGGAGCCACTGGGGTTGCCCTTGGAGAGAAGGCAGGGGAAATAGCCCATGAACATACAGCATGGAACAGCAATCTGAAGAGTACCTGGGACACACAGTGGGGAGGTTATTTGTTCATCTTGGAGCATGTCCCAGAGAGATCCCCCAGAAACAAAGGAACTGGCAGGTGACATTTCCCTCCCCAGGCCCTAAGCACAAGCACAGGGCCTCCTGCAGGAACCAGTACAATGCTAATACTTGCTACCTAACCTGCCATGCTCCATGCCACACTCCCTCATACTCCACTGGAACTGTCCTTCCCAATCATACTTGCCATAGTGCCAGCATGACAGGCCTCCTCCCCTAGAAGATTGGCCAAACCCCTGCCCACACCATGTCTCCCACTCAGGAGTTTTGCAGGGCGTCAAGTGCTGGCGGCAGTGGCAACAGGTCTCTTTTCATGAACAGACCTGAGCACACCTAGCTAAAACTTGCCATTTTCAGGCCAGGATCAAACACTGCCCACAGTGGGCAAAGAGAGCCTCTGCAGATGACTATCTTGAAGGATGAAGAGGCCAGGACATAACAGCAGAGTGCATGCAGCATACATAGGAGATAGAGATACTCCCTGATGCACCAGGCCCTGGGAAACAGAGGACACTGCAAGATCTCTTCTTCACAAGGCCATTACCCTCAAGAACAGGAGATATAGCTGACTTTCCTAACACACAGTAACAGGCACAGAGACTTACAGAAAAGGAGAAGACAAAGGAATTTTTCCAAATGAAAGAACAGGACAAGGCCATGGCCAGAGACCTAAGTGGAACAAATCCAACTAATATGCCTGATAGAGAATTTAAAGCAATGATCATAAAGATACTCACTGAACCTGAGAAAACAGTAGAAGAAATCAGTAAGACCTTTACCATGGAGTGAAGGAATAACATAGCAGAGATAAAGGTTCAATAAATGAAATGAGAAACATACTTGATGGCATGAACAGCAGGCTGGAAGAAGCAGGGGAACAAATTAAGGACCTAGGAGACAGAGTAATAGAAAGTAATCAAGCTGAACAAAAGAGAGAAAAAATAATTATGCAAAATAAGAATAGACTTAGTGAACTCAATGAACCATAAAACATGTAACATTTGTATTATAGGTATCCCAGAAGAAGAACAGAGAAAAAAGAGAGTAGAAAATTTATTTGAGAAAACAATAGCTAAAACCTTCCCTAATCTAGGGAAGGAAACAGACATCCAGATCCAGGATACAGAAAACCCCCAACAAAATCAACAAAAGCAGATTCATACCAAGGCATATTGTAATTAAAATGGCAAAATGTGGGCATCCCTGGGCGGCGCAGCGGTTTGGCGCCTGCCTTTGGCCCAGGGCGCGATCCTGGAGACCCGGGATCGAATCCCATATCGGGCTCCCGGTGCATGGAGCCTGCTTCTCCCTCTGCCTATGTCTCTGCCTCTCTCTCTCTCTGACTATCATAAATAAATAAATTTAAAAAAAATGGCAAAATGTAGTGATAAAGAAAACAATTTTAAGATAGCAAGCAAAAAGAAGACAGTTACATACAAAGGAAACCCCATAAGGATATTAGCTGATTTTTCAGAAGAAACCATGCAGGCCAGAAGAAAATGGCATGATATTCAAAGTCTTGAAAGTAAAAAATCTGGAACCAATAATACTCTATCCAGCAAGGTTACCATTAAAATATAAGGAGATAAAGAGTTTCCCGTATGAACAAAAATCAGAGGAGTTCATGACCACTAAACCAGCCCTGCAATAAATATTAAAAGGGGACACTTTGGGAAGACCAGAAGTGACAGTATAAAAGTAGGAAACACAAAAGCAATAAAAATGAATATTTCTATTAAAAAATCAGTCAAGGAACTCATAAAATAAAAGGATGAAAAATATGATACCATATACCTAATACATAGGGATGAGAGGAGTAAAGAATGAGTTCAATTGTAAATGACCATCACCTTAATGTAGTCTGCTATACACAGATGCTGCATACAAACCTAATAATAATCACAAATGAAAAACCACTGATAAATATAGAAAGAATAAAGAGGAAGAAATCCAAATATACTGATTAAAAAAATCAGCAAACCATGAAAGAAAGACAAGGATCAGAGAAAATCTTCAGAAACAAACGCAAAACTAGTAATAAAATGGCAATACATAATATCTATCAACAAATTACTTTGAATGTAAACACACTAAATGATTCAATCAAGAGACATAGGGTGACAAAATGGATAAACAAGACTTTTCTATATGCTGCCTATAAAAAACTCATTTTAGACCTAAAAGCATCTGCAGATTGAAAGTGAGGGGATGGAGAAATATCTATCATGCAAATGGTTGTGAAAGGAAAACCAGAATAGCAATATTTATATCAGATAAACTAGACTTTAAAACAAAGACTATAACCAAAGACAAAAAAAGAACACTAATAATAATAATAAAGGAGATAATCCCACAAGAATATACAAGAATTGTAAATATGCACCCAACATGGAAGCACCCTAGTATATAAAACAGTTAATGACAAACACAAGGGCACTAATCCATAATAATAAATTAACAGTAGGGAACTTTAACACCTCACTTACATCAATGGACAGATTAACTAAACAGAAAATCAACAAGGAAACAATGGCTTTGAATGACTCATTGGAACAGATGGATTTAACAGACATATTAAGAACATTCCATCCAAAAAAAAAAAAAAAAAGAACATTCCATCCTAAAACAGCAGAATACACATTCTTTTCAAGTGTACATGGAACATTCTCCAAGATAGATCATATATTAGGCCACAAAACAAGTGTCAACAAATTCAAAAAGATCAAAATCATATACATACATCTTTTCTGACCACAACACTATGAAACTAAAAGTCAGTCACAAGAAAAAAATCTAGAAAGACCACAAATACATGGAAGTCAAATAACATGCTAGTAAACAATGAATGGGTCAACCAAGAAATAAAAAGTACATGGAAATAAATGAGAACACAACAGTCCAAAACCTTTGGGATGCTGAAAAAGTGGTTCTAAGAGGGAAGTTTATAGCACCACAAGCTGACCTCAATAAGCAGGAAAAATTTCAAACAACCTAACTTTACATCTAAAGGAGCTAGGAAAGGAACAACACACAAAATCTACCAGTAGAAGGAATGAAATAATAAATATTAGAGAAGTAAATGATATAGAAACTAAAAGAATAGAACAGATTAAAGAAACTAGGAACTAATTCTTTGGAAAAAATCAATAAAATTAATAAACCTCTAGCCAGATTTATCAAGAGAAAAGGAGAAAGAACTCAAATAAATACAATCACAAATGAGAGAAGAGAAATAACCAACCACAGAAATACAAATAATTACAAGAGAGAATTACAAAAAACTATATGCCAACAAACTGGACAACCTAGAAGAAATGGATAAATCCCTAGAAACATTTAACCTAACAAAACTAAGATAGGATAGAACATTAGAACAGACCAATTATCAGCATAGAAACTGAATCAGTAATCTAAGAGCCCCAACAAATGAAAGTCCAGCACCAGATGGCTTCACAGATGAATTCTGTCAAATCAAACTATTCCAAAAAATAGAAAAGGAAGGAAAACTTCCAACTTCATTCTATGAGGACAGCATTACCCTGATACCAAAACTAGATGAAGGCACCACAAAAAAAGAGAACCATAGGCTGATACCTTTGATGAACATAGATGGAAAAATCCTCAACAAAATACTAGCAAACTGAATCCAACAATATATTAAATAAATCATCACAATTAAGTGAGATTTATTCCTGGGTTGCAAGGGTAATTCAATATTTGCAAATCAGTGTGATACATCACATCAATAAAAGAAAGGATAAGAACCATATCACTATTTGAATAGATGTGGAAAAAGCATTTGACAAAGTACAACATCTATTCATGGTAAAAACCCCCAACAAAGTAGGTTTAAAGGGAACATACCTCAACATCATAAAGGCTATATACGAAAAACCCACTGGTTTATGGTCACTTATTGATTGCTTCATGAGTCATGGAGTGACTAGTGAAAAGGAAGCCTATGCACTGGTTTCTTACAAGGCTTCTGGGTTCTTTGAAGATAGAGTGGAAAAATTTTGGATAAAGTTAAATTGGTATTTTGCATCAGTTTTTCACAAATTGCAAACTAAAAACCTTTACTGAGCTGTGAAATAAATTTAAAAGCCTGTAATAAGCATTCAGAAAAATAAACTATCCTACATCACCGATGACAGTTAACACAGTTAAGTTCTCCTATCCATTTATTCATTCATGAAGTCAATAAATATTTGCAAATACTGCCTCATCCTTGGACTAGTCTGGGCATGGAGGACACATCAATAATCAAAACAATTTAAGTTCTCCTCCTGCAGATTATAACCACTGGGGAGAGAGAAGTAAGAGGTAAACAAAAATGTATGAGACACAATAGAAAGCAAGAGGAGTAAAGACAGCATTGTATTTTATGCAGAATGGTCAGAAGGCCTGTGTCATGGTATTAAAATCTAGCAGAGACCTAACTGAAGAAGAGAAGAACCAGTAGGATTTTCAGTGAAAGAATATTCCAAGCAGTGTGAAAAAGTAACAGGTCCCAAAGGGAGAAGTTTCTGTAACAGACTTAATGGTTCCTGAAAGATGTCCATGCCCAATCCCCAGAACCTGTGAGCATGCTATGTTAATTGGGTTGTGGATGCAATGAAAGATGCTAATCAGCTGATCAGAAAAACAGGAAGATCATTCTGGATTATCTGGGAGGGAGCAATGTCATCAGAAGGGTCCTGACAAGGTAGCAGACAGGAATGCAGCCTTGTAGACACCTTACATATTATCCCCATGAGATGTGTCAGAGATCATACCTAAACAACAAAAATACAATAAAAGTTTATCATTTAGTCTGCTACATTCATAGTAATTTGATAAGGCAGCAATAGGCGATGTACAGTATCCTTGGCAGGTCTGAGTAACGGCACGGAGGACAACGTGGGTGGAAAAATGCAGTGAGAGGGGCACCTGGCTGGCTCCATCTGTAGAGCGTGTGACTCTTGATCTCAGGGCTGTGAGTTCAAGCCCCATGTCGGGTGTAGGATTACTTAAAAACAAAACAAACCTTAAAAAAATAAAAATAGAGAAAGATAGAAAGAGGACAGATGCATTCAAAAGAGAGGAATTGGGGATACAGAGCAGACTCTAAGAGTCACTGTAAGTGGTTTTAAATTTAAGGTGAAAAAAAAAGAAGCCATTATGAATTTTTAAAAAGATTTTATTTATTTATTTATTTGAGTGAGAGAAAGAGAGAGAGCACACACACAAGCTAGGGCAGAGAGAGAGAGGGGCAGAGAGAGAGAGGGAAAACCAGGCTCCTCACTGAGTGGGGACCCTGATGCAGGGCTCGATTGCAGGACCCTGAGATCATGACCTGAGCCAAAGTCAGACACTTAACCGACTAAATCTCCCAGGTGCCCAGCCATAGTGGATTTTGAATAGAGGAATGGCAATCTCAATTACATTGCCTAGGAATTACTTTGCTCATAGAAAACAGATGTAGGATGGGAAGGTGGAAGCACAGCAACCTGTACAAAGGCTGTTATAATAATCCAGGAAAGAGGCTTGGCAGTTTAGAATATGGAAATAAGCATGGAGAAATATCAAACAGACAGTAGAACTGCCTGCAAGACCCTTACTTACTTGGTTCTTACCTGAATTGCCTTTTCTTTGGGTTGCTAACTTCACCATCCAAAACTTTTCTTCCCTTATCAAGTGGATCATATCTCGTTTGAATGGTTGATGCCCTGTGAACACAAAGTCATATGCTTAAAGTCAACAGATTCTAGGTAAAATTCACTGGAAAATGAGGTTCCCATTACATACTCATCAAGCAATCAGAAGCAACGTTTTTCAAATATTCTTTTCTCATGACTCATCTGAAGAAATATAATTTGCCAAGTCTCCTACACATATATAGAGTTAGGAAGTGTATGAGTTAGGAAGTACTTATTCTTCAATTTTTTGGAAGAATGTGAGAAGGACTGCTATTATCTGATTTATTTATTTCATTAAAAGTTGACAATAGGATTCATTGTACTGGTGTTATAATTCATGATAGGGTAAGGAATACATCAAGTAGCGCTAGCTGTATACCATCCATCTATAGTTCTTCAACAAAACAAAAATTTGCCTGTTGATTAAAAAAAAAACAAAAAACACTCTGTGTGTCCCACATATATTAGGGAAGTCAGATGCCCCAAATCAGGGAACCATTTCAAGGGCCTCAAAGGACACAAAGGATACAAAGCCACTCCTGGAGACTAACATTCAGTTACAGAGGGCTCAAGACCTCACCCACAGAGACCAGGTTCCCGAAGTTCTCTAGCATCACATCTCGGTAGAGCTTCCTCTGGGCGGAGTCCAACAGCCCCAGCTCCTCCTCTGTGAAGACCACGGCCACGTCCTTGAATGTCACTGCTTCCTATGATACCGAGCACATGTAATCTCAATCTTATAAGCAACCTTCACTGGGAGGGACAGCACTGAGAGACACTATTTTCTTACCTGTCACTTTTACTCAACAGAATGGCTAACATTCCTAACCCTTGGTTTCCTGTGTGAACCAAGGGTTCACACATGAACCTGGTTTCTTATATTTTACATATGCCAGGTGGAATATGAAATCAGAAACCTCCTTCTATAGCAGCTCTAAGGAGTCAATGCAGAAGCAGAAGTAAGGGCCTGGTAAATCCAGCAAAACTGGATGTTTTAAACTAAGATTATACCTCAATTTATAACTAGAGGCAACCAAGATGTCCCAGGTGGTGAACGGATAAATACTACATCCAGACCAGAGTACAATTTAGGGATTAAAAAAAAGCTATCAAGCCATGAAAAGACATGGAGTTACCTTAAATTCATATGGCTAAGTTAGAGAAGCCAATCTGAAATGCTACATACTGTATGATTCCAACCATATGACGCCCTGGAAAAGGTAATACTATGGAGACAATAAAAAGATCCATAGTTGGCAGGGGTTAGGGGAAGGGAAGGATAAATAGGTGGAACACAGAGGATTTTTAGGGCAGTGAAACTACTATGTAGGACACTGTATCAACAGAGACACAAATTTGTCCAAACCAACAGAAAGAACATCAAAGTCAATCCTAAGGTAATCTATGGATTCTGGAAATCTGGCCAATACAGGTCCATTGATTGTAACAAGTGTACCACTCTGGTGGTGGATGCTGACAGTGGGAGAGACTGTGGGTACATGAGGGCAGGGTGGGAAATCTTTGTACTTTCTGTTGGATTTTACTGTGAATGTTAAACTGCTCTAAAAAATAAAGCCTATGTATATTTACACACTTAAGGTTACTTCGAAAAAACAAATATATGAAAAAAAAATATATGAAGGAATAAAAGTAGACCAGTAAGTGACATGCAGGGAATGACTCAGACATAAGACAGACAAATTCTAGGTCTTCCTGTGTGAAAATCTCCAACAATATTTGCATTAAGCAGAAGTTAGAGCCTATTGCACTGTGAGGTATTTGAATATTCTATCTATAAAACTCTAATGTGGCATGTATCAAATGCACTTTTTCATTATTGAGTCCTCAGTACAATGAGGACAAAAAATAGGCAGCTTGTTCAGAGAAGTGACTTTTTGGAGAAAAGATTGCAAGCAGGAAAACAATCACTACAGCATTGCTTAAAACCGCCTAAATCGCCTTAATGTCTAGAAGCAGTAGGTAGTTAAAAATTAAAAATCATATCAATTTAGTAGGAACACAATGTAACCATATGTAATGTTCTATAACGTTAAACAAAAAAGCACAAGTCAATATTAGATGTATATCATGAATATTAATAAATCTATGAATATACATGAAAAAGAGTATGAGAAAATAAAAATAGTGAATGTGTCAGTGGTAAAACAAGCAGAACTGGTCTTTCTTATTAATTTGTCCACATTTGTTTTTGAAATAAAATGAATAGTGACAAAACAAATGCTAAAAACAAATACAGAGATCATTTAACCTGGTGTTCTTGAGTCATCTCAATAAAAGAAGAAAAACAAATAAGAGTGTGAGCTGGGCAGAGGGAGGAGGGAGACAGAGAATCCAAAGTAGGCTCCTTGCTCAAAGCAGAGCCAAGGCAGGGCTCAATCTCACAACCCTGAGATCATGACCTGAGCCAAAAATCAAGTCAGACGCTTAACTGACTGAGCCACCCAGACGCCCCAACACTAACATTTTGAGTAGTGAAATGGAATTTTAACAGCAAGAAAGGTAAGCCATATGCACCTTGAATGTGGTCATTTTTCCTTCCTACTTCTGGAGATGTACAGATTCCCGGAATACAAAGTCCTGGTAAGGCAGACCTGTGTCTGGTGGTGTCTGGAAAGGCAGAGAAGGACATGAAAGGGTGATAGGGTGATTAGTGATGTTTGTCTACATGAATGCTTATTGTGACTTAGCCAACGAGCCCCTTCCTTGGGGTGGCTGCTGCTGTCTACAACGTGAGGAGCAGGTCCTGGCATGGATACTTCATTCCTACACAACACACATACGGATTGTTGTATGTTGCCTTGTGCTATCTTGTGGCTCCCAAGATAGCAGATTCTGATATGATGGAAACTGAGAAAACATAATGCATCAAGCAAGAATCATCTCTGGGGCAACAATATTTGGGCTCAAGTCCTACTTCAGCTTCTCAATTACTGTATCATCAAATTAGTAACATCTCTTTTCCTCAGTTTTATCTTCTGTACAACCAAGACATAGTATTTCCAACTCATAGAACTGTTGAGAACTGGACGACATTTTGAGTACATTCAGGGTTTCTTATTTTTGTAGCTATAGTTAAAAAAAAAAATAACACTCAGTGTGAAATTGCTCTTATATATGTGATTTCTACCAAAAACATTGTAGGATACCTGAACCTCTGACACACTATTCCGTTGCATGAAGGTCACTCATAACCTCTGAAAAATCAGTTAACTTTTCCTCATTATTTTCCCTAATATTGTGTTACCTTAGCAATAAATTTTAAATTGTTGTAGACAACTATTTTCTAAATCAACAACAACATGGGTTTCTAGTATCTATTTAAAAACACAAGACTTGGGATCCCTGGGTGGCGCAGCGGTTTGGCGCCTGCCTTTGGCCCAGGGCGCGATCCTGGAGACCCGGGATCGAATCCCACATCGGGCTCCCGGTGCATGGAGCCTGCTTCTCCCTCTGCCTGTGTCTCTGCCTCTCTCTCTCTCTCTCTGTGACTATCATAAATACATTAAAAAAAATTAAAAAAAAAAAAAAAAAAAAAAACACAAGACTTGGGCAGCCCGGGTGACTCAACGGTTTAGTGCTGCCTTCAGCCCAGGGCGTGATCCTGGAGACCCGGGATCGAGTCCCATGTCACGCTCCCTGCATGGAGCCTGCTTCTCCCTCTGCCTGTGTCTCTGCCTCTGTGTGTGTCTCTCATGAATAAATAAATAAAATCTTAAAACACACACACACACACACACACAAGGCTGGGAGGGAGGGGAACAGTATGATGTAGCCAATCTGGAAAATGCTTTTGGCAGTTTATCAAAAAGTTAAACCAAAAGCTACCAGTCAGCCAAGCAATTGTACTCCTCGATATCTACCCAGGAGAAAATATATCTCCAAACAAAAACTTGTACTTAAGTATTTATAAAACTATTATTTATAAGAACCCCAAACTGGAAATAACTAAAACGTCTGCCTAGGGATCCCTGGGTGGCGCAGTGGTTTGGCGCCTGCCTTTGGTCCAGGGCGCGATCCTGGAGACCCGGGATCGAATCCCACGTCGGGCTCCTGGTGCATGGAGCCTGCTTCTCCCTCTGCCTGTGTCTCTGCCTCTCTCCCTCTCTCTCTCTATCATAAATAAATAAATAAATAAACAAACAAACAAACAAATAAATAAATAAGAAAATTAAAAAAAAAGTTTAAAACGTCTGCCTATAGGTGATGGACAAACAGTGGTATGTCCACAATGAAATATTAGTGAGTAATAAAAAGGAATAAAATGATGATGGATACAAGAGAGATGAACTTTTAAAATATTACAAGTGAAAGAAGCCTGTCACAAGAAGACCATATCCTATATAATCCCATTTATTTTTTTTATAATCCCATTTAAATAAAGGGTTCACAATATAAAGGCAGAAAAGAAGTTAGTGGTTGGCCAGGGTTGTTGAGAACAGGGATTAACGATAAATGGTAACAAGGGGTCTTAGCATAGGAATAAAAATGTTTTAAACTGAATTATGGTGATAGTTGCACCACTTGATGTTACAAAAATCACTGAATTGTTCACATGCAAAAGGAAAATTCTTTTTATTTTTTTATTTTTTTTATTTTATTTATGATAGTCACAGAGAGAGAGAGAGAGAGAGAGGCAGAGACACAGGCAGAGGGAGAAGCAGGCTCCATGCACCGGGAGCCTGATGTGGGATTCGATCCCGGGTCTCCAGGATCGCGCCCTGGGCCAAAGGCAGGCGCCAAACCGCTGCGCCACCCAGGGATCCTGCTAAAGGAAAATTCTTATATGTAAAACATAGATCAACAAGTTGCATCTGATAAGTAACATCTCATTTAAATTAACCAAACTGGACTCAGAGTCCATAAAGAATTTATATTTGACTGAATGAAAAAAGAAGTGGGAGGAAAAGGGATGATGACCTTTACAGCAGAAAGCCTGCTAATAAAACATGTCTTTCCACAGGATATTTTTTTTAATTTTATGTATTTATTCATGGTGGGGGGGGGGGCAGAGACACAGGCAGAGGGAGAAGCAGGCTCCATGCAGGGAGCCCGACGTGGGACTCAATCTCGGGACTCCAGGATCACACCTTGGGCCAAAGGCAGGCGCTAAACCACTTGAGCCACCCAGGGATCCCGGAAACTTTAATTACAAAAAGAAACCTAGTAACTCCAGTGGTAAAATGGCAAAGAATCTCCTTCACCAAGTGAACAAAACTGACATCACAGATATAAAACCAAAATGCATCCTTCAGCCCCCTTTATGGTGACTGAAAAGGCCACCTCACCACTTCTGTGGAATCGCTGCCAACAACGTGTAATCTGAATCAAACCATGGACTATATCACGTAAACCTCAAAAGCTGGACGTTTCTGATATAAATCTGCCTACACATCATGAACAAAAAACATCACGAACAAAATAATGAAGGATGAGGAATCATTCCACATTAAAGGAGACAAGGGAAACATGCCAGCAAAAGGCAGTACATGAAATTCACTTTAATTAGGGGAAAACACTATAAGAATTTTAAATGAAAAACAGAACAAATTTAAATATGGACTGTGGGTCAGATAGCACATCAACAGTGTAATTTTCTGATTTTGATCAAGATACTGTCATTGTATAAGAGAATATCCTTGTTCCTAGAAAATAAACACCATTTAAGAGAAAAATACAGGCCTAAAAT